TGGATTGCCATGACATTTGGTACAGACATTCACGGTCCCCAGAGGATGAATCCAACTACTTACATTTGCGATTCCCTTGTTTCCATCTAGTGCCATTAGTGTCATTAGCAAAATGTCTCAGAGGCTACTGAATGGATTGACATGAAATATGGAACAGACATTCATGCCCATCTCAGGATGAATTGTAACAGCTGGTGATCCGCTGACATCTAACAACACCAAGGTCAACACTTTGTCCAATACTTTGGTTTATAACCAAATACCTACAAAACGAATGCCATTATACTGCCATTAATGATATTCCCTCAGCCTCAGCTGTACCTTCTTTTGCACTAAATTATCAAATGTCAGCATGCTAACATGCTAAACCTAAAAGGTGAAGGTTAATTAGTCGATTGATATGGAAATCTACAACCACTTTAATGATAGTCATTGTTTTGTAACAAAATTGCCAAAAATACATCTGTACCAGCTTCTCAGTTCTTAGGATGTGCTGGTTTTCTTTGTCTTAGGTGGCTGTAAACTGGATATTGTTAGAAGGAGTAATTTAAGGAATATACTATATATATATATATATATATATATGATATTTTATGGACCAAGCAATTAAATGCGAAAAATAAAGAAAGATTAATTTGATGAATGAAAATAATTGTTAGTTGCAGCCCTATCTCTGACGTCAGTAGCCTGTTTACCTTAAAGCACCGCTGTGCCTACGTACAGCCTTACAGAGCTGCTACAGTGGCTATAGACTCTCATTCTAGTTTGTTGCAGTGGCAAAAACTATTCATCTGCAAGGCCATTTTTTTTTAGTAATCTCCAAAACACTGTACACAACCCAGTCAGTGTGGATTACTATTTAATCAAGCGTTTGGTTGACTTAGGATGGGGCATTACATGAACTAACACAACACAACAGCAATAAATGTCATGCTCCTTTGTATGTTCATCATGATCTGTGAGTGTGCGAGCGACTGTTTGTTGTCTAAGTGAGTCAGAGAGGAGAAGGTCAAGTTTTGGGGGGGTTGGTGGTTTAGCTTGGTTTCTCTCAACAGGCCAGCCTCTCTCCACCCTGAGTCTGCACTATCTCACCTCCTCACCCTGTCTGCTCACTGTCACTCTAATGGAGTCCAAGAGAGCGAGAGCCTGGGGAAGGCCAAATACTCAAGGAGAAACACCAGTCTCACCTCATTGTGTTTTAACAGGCACTGAGGCTATGCCAGGAATGTACACTGTGCATTAGCGTGAATGTATACATATTTCACTAATCCGATTAAAACACAGTTTATCAGTGTCAAAATCCATTATAGTGGTGTGTTTGTGTGCTTCTGGTTGAGTGTGTCTCTTTCAGGTAAAGGGGAAGATGAACAAGGACACCAATTGACTAATTATCAAATATATAAAAGTTGAAGTCTTATTGATATTACTTTTTGTCACAAATTTAAGCTCAAGGTTGATTGCCCTAAAGCCCTAATTTCCAAGATATGAGAGGGATACAGTTAGGAGTTCGATATCACTAGGGTTAGTTGAGATAAAGTTAAATAGAAAAATAAGCATCAAAGGCGGCACCTACTGTATACTTCTCATGGACAAGTTGACATTTTAGTCCAAGCAAAAGTGGCTGAAATAAAGCCAGAGTACTTCTTACTCCCAAAGCAAGAATGTAAACACACTAAATTCCTGTCAGAATGGCAAGGAACCTCTGACAGTCATAGATGGCTGTGTATATTTAAGTCAACACTCTGTGTATACTATAATCAAGTGTTAAGTCTCTCTACAGATAACTTGTTATACATGAACCACACTATGTGTTTTTATGTGCACTTGACTTCTCCTGTAATATCTGACATTAAGTTTCTTTAAAAAACTATTAGCTATTAACTATTAGTAAGACATGAATTTTGTGGCAAGTTGTAAATCACAAAGTGCAGCGCAGTGAAAAACTCTTCAAACAAATGTGACAAAATGTCTTGCCTGTCATATATGAAATTTACAGCAGGAATATTATGGACAGAATACAGTTCACAAAGTCATCCATATTCTAAAGTTGTGAGCAATTAATTGGATGCGATTCAGTGTGCAAGTCAACAGACACAACTCATATGTAGCCTACTACAAGGGGTTGGTTGGGATAATAATACAGGAAAAAACAACAAACTGTGGGAAAATCTATACCAATTATCTCATTGAATTAAAATTATAATATATATTATTGTATCTTTATCATGAAAATAATATGGGGCTAAACATAAATTACCACTTATCTGAACTGATTTTGGTTTATTAATGGTTGTTTGCCATATGATGATCAACACTACATCACTGGCTGAAATCACATTGCTCATGTCTGTCTCTAATACACACATTGTGCCACAGTATCCTTGCAAAACACACAATTTATCTTGACTTGAATTCCTACACCCTTCCAATGCTCAACCCCACCCTCCTCCACCTCGGTTTTTTCTTAGGATTCCCTGTTCAACTTGATCTGTTACCCATCACCAGCACTTTTGCTCCCCGCACCCATTAACAATTCTTGCATTTTTAGTTTTTAAGATGAACAGCCAACAACAAACTTCTTTGGTGAAAACAGAGTGAACTGTTTGGGAAACCTTCACCTGAAATTCCTATGAGATCACTAATAGCCTACTATAGCAATTATTATTGTGATGTCAACCACCTGCCATGTGTGGTGGTGCACCATAATAAACCAGGCTTTTTGTACATGCAATACACCAGGTAAAACTAGAATTGACAAGAGCTGACACTTAAACACATTTATTTATTTATTTTTACTTCTCCACTAAAACAAATTCTTCAGAAGTAAAGGGTTGTAAAAGTAACACAAATCACACCTTTTGTATTCCACTATCAAGTTTCTGTACAATGAGTTTTAATACTAAACTGTATTGATAGCTACATATAGCCTACATGCCTATAATAATCAAGAAATCTTACCTTCAAAAAATCTCTGTAACGCTTCTGTTTCACCTACCACCTCCATCCTAGCGGGTCCCACATAAAAAATCCATCAAAGTCTCCCCTTGTCCGAACAAAATCGATTCGGATCGGGGAAACCTTCACATGTACATCACAGTGTCCAGATGATCTTCTTAGTTAGCCTACTAACTTAGTTAGTTTTAGTTCTCATAAATCCAACGCTTCACGCGGAGGACTTCTTTCTCCTGTTCGGCTACTTGGCACTGTATTGACGTGCCTTAGCCAAACGCCTCCAGTGACGCTATACGGTAGGCTACAGGCTATAACTTCAAAACTATCTGTCTTTTTTTAATTAAGGTGCCAACATTAAAACACTTCCCTTCAGGCGCATCTTCACTTCAGCTCCCACAAGCTTCATAATAAGCACGGGTTTACATTCGCATAAAAAATACCTCAAATCAGTCTAATGGAAAAATCGATAGGAAAATATAAGTTTTTAAAAAACGCTTGTACATAAAAGTTGGCTAAATTTGATTCCCAAGTCCCCCTGTTGATTCTCTTCCTCCTTTGCCTCTGCCTCTCAGACAGGATGTGTGCAGTAGAGAGTCGGAGGAGAGCAGCAGAAGCAGGTGAGGGATGTGCGCCAGGCTGCATGCACACTTGAAAAATGTAGCCTAGCTACTCAACAGTTGGTTTACCTTTATATTAGCCTATATTTTATTGTTAAACAATATTCCTTACCTCATATAAGGACCTATAGAGCCGCAGAGATTAGTCGATTGGTTGGTTATTACAAGAAAATTAATCGGCAACTATTTTAATAGGCTAATCAATTTATTTCAATTTGTTTTTCAAGCAAAAGAAAATAACTTTTGTGGTTCCAGCTTTTCTTTGCCATAGGCCTATGTTAGTCAATTAAATATCTTTGTGTTTTGAACTATATTGCACGGACAAATCACTTTGGGCTCTGGCAAGTTGTGACTTTTTGACATTTCATAAGATTTATCGACAAAATAGCAGCAATCCATAACGTCGTCCAAAATTCTTGATATTTGAAATAAATAAACATATTTTTCTTGAAAGTTTTAACAGGATAGGCTACATTTATTATCATGCACTAAAACAAAGCAGCTTTTTTTGAAAGCTCAAATACACTTTCTGGGTACAATTTGAAACAAACTCATTACATAAATTTGGCCTAGACATCTTATTAAGCTGATGATACACGGGGGCAACTTTTTGAGTGATGTTGCTGGGCAATCTTGTTTGTGGCAAGTCCGACTATGTTTTGAACCGACAGCGGCGGTGCGGGGCGGGTGGCGGAGTGGTGGGGGAAGGGGATTACGGTAGTAATCTTTACTCATTACCATTGACGGCAACGTTGCCCTGCACGATTGATCTAAAAGTTGTTCTGTGTATCATCAACTTAAGTGCATGTCTTTCCATCCTTGAGAATTGAACCCTCCTCTGTTGCTCCTCTGGAGATTTCTACCCTTTTTTCTCTTAGGTTTTTGCATATTGAGTATTTTCTTATATCCTAATTTAGGCTGTAAAGATAGACGGTAATAGTTACTATGGGGGGAAATAGAAATGAAATGAACATGACTTTGATTTAACTTTATGAAAGCACTTTAAACTATAAACACTACATGCAGTTAGGTCAGGCCTGAGGATGCCTTGGGAAAAAAAGCATTCCAACACACTTGATCTAATGTCACTATGTGATGTCAAGCACAGTTTTAACCTGATTCAAGGCTCTAAAAATAAATATTTTTCTCTCCCCCAGCAGCGTCAAAACATTTGTGAAACTTTGATCTATAGTATTTTTTTTGCGATTTGAAAGGCTTCTGTGGGGGCCTTTTGAATTCCTCCAGCTTAAACAACCATACAGTAACAGGAGTGTTTTGTGTCAAGGCTTCCCAAGAGGAGGATTTGAGGGAATGATCCATTTCTCGAAAGCTTATCAGCTGCATCCCCCCTTATAACAATGCCACTGTGTGCAGCCCCCACAGCCTTGACACCCCGCCACCCTACCCCCCACCCACATGTGAGATGCTGTTGTGTTGTCTTGTTCCCCCACAGCTGGAGCATCTCTCTCTCCACCCCTCCACCCCTCTGCTTTTCCTCCATTCAAACCAAACAACGCCTCCGTTCTTTCAGTCACACTATGCAGATTGTTTCAGAGGACAAGCAAGAAAGAGAAACAGATAGAGGCTGCCGGGGACAATGAAACAGCTGGCTATGCTAAAGCAGTTCATTTTGGTATTCTACATTTCTTATCTCATATAGCTCTGTAGCTGCATGTGCGTAGATGTGTGTGTGTGTGTAGTCGACTTGTACAAAATCTTGCATGTTGTGTGGAAATAAACCCTGTTGGCAACATTTTGTAAGTTAAGGTTAGGTTGGCCTATGTAAAGTTAAAGTCATTCTCCATAAAATAAATGTAGGTAATTCAAACAATTATTAAAAATAAGCGTTTGTGTGTAATGGTGAAGTTAATATTAAAAAATATGTAGCCTAGCTTAAATGATGACAAGTGTCCTGATATATCAAGAATGATGGACTATGGAGGGGGTAGTCAGCCTAAATGTTGTGTATAGACATAGCATACTGTATTATTGCGCCAATTCAGGTTGGATTTTTTAGGCCACTTGGGGGAAGCAGAACAAGCTGAAAAAACAAGCAACAAAATATTAGCACCATAAAGTTGACATGTTAGCAAACATGTTAGCCTATTTACAAAGAGCAACATTAGCATTCATTTTCATTCACCTGTGGTCAAGGTGTTCCTTTTTACTCTGGTCTCTACCAACTCCTGAAAAAACTTCCTGGCTCTGTAGGTTTGGTACTGAATGCTTCAATGTGCTAACTTTGTCTGCACTTTGGTAAGCAGGTAGTTTACTGGGGGTATGTCAGAGCTTTCTTGCAGAAAACAGCTGCCTACTGCTGCTGCAGGTTGATTAAAGTTGAGTTTGAAGGCCTGAAAACCACACACCTCTGGGGTTGTAGTTTATCTTCCAGCCAGCAGGCGGAGACGTTCATCTTTAATGAACAAGCTGGCGACATAATCAAAATGGCGATGCCTGGACCAGGTAGGTGGATGCGTTGCTATGGACACGCTTTTATATTAATTAAATACTATTAGTTTAAGCAACTTTAAAGATAACGGACGTGTATACTTCTACTTTAGTTCACTTTGTTAATTCAGTGACGTAAAAAAAATGTGCTCGGTTTATTGCGTTTCTGTCTGTTTGTCTCCATCAAGGAAGATCAGCCAGTGGAGTTGTATCCTTTAACATGCATTCAGCTGAGTACGTCTAAAGGAAAGCCTTGCCAAAAGGACAAGAAGACAGACGCCTTTCTGTCTCACTGACAGTGTGATGATGAATGAAATCACCTTAACTGGGCACCCAGCTATCATCTGTAACTTTCCAGCTGCTGCTGAACCTGACAACGGCCTACTTCGTCTTTTATTTTCTGTTCACTCTTGGCTTGATCATTAGAAAGAGTGAGTGCTGAAGAAGTAATACTGTCCCAGGTTGTTGTTTCTTGAGTTTTGCTGTACCTGCAGAGAGCCGTGAATGTGTCTGTTGCTTTCAGGCTTGGTCCTGTCATATCCTGTTGATGCTCTGGTCTGTGATGTCAGTCTGCTGTTCCTCCTGGCTGCTCTGGAGTTCCTCCATTTCTTCTGTGGTGAGTCTCTGCATAATAATTCTTGTATTGATTGCATGATTATACATTATTGCTTAGGCTACTATTCATTTCCCAAAGCATCTAGCATAGTTTTTTAGTTTGATTACATAGACTGTATAATTGATGAACTGTATGATTGATGATTTTTTTTTAACTTTCCAGGCTGCCATTATTTACAGTGTATGTCAATACATATATGTAAATATTCATTTTCATATTTAATGCAAATAAAAAAATAAAGAAATGACACTTGGAGACAGATTCAAGACATTAAATAAAGGCGGTGTTGCTTATGTATATCCAGTGCTTCTTCTTACCTGTAACTTATCAAATAAATAACCAAACACACCTCATAACACTAATTAGTAGCTAAAAGACCAATGAGAATTCTAGTAGCTTTTGTAGTTTACTTAATTCTTAAATGGAGTGACATACATCCCAGCAGCTTTCAAATTTGTTCTGCGTGAGCCTTATTGTTTACAGATTTCATGCCTGGTGCATGGTTCTCAAAGTGGGGTCCCAGGACCACCAGGGTTCCTTGAGGGTGTTCCAGGGGGTCCCCATCAAACAGGGGAATACTTTAATTTCACTATATTTGGATCCAGAGTGTGAATTACATAATGATAATCGGGGGGTTAGCTTTTCTTCCAGGTTGTAATGGAAACCGAGTGCAGTGTAGGCGCGTGCTTCAGTTAATTTACAATGCTTACAATATCCTTGCTTGTTTAATGTAATGTCAGGAGTCTGTAGATGATGATGAATCAAATTCATTACACCAGTTCATGCAAGCCCCATAGAACACAACAACTTTTGTAGTCACCAAGTGTTCTGGAGCAAAACTGCCAGCAAGTCAGACACGCTCACACATATCTACACTGAATGGGGGCAAAAACAAAAGTGTTGCATTTATAATTTTGTTCAGTATATTTCCTAATTCTTATCATTTCAAGTTTTAGGTTGCAACTTGCTCTTTTTTTTTTTTTTTTACAACACAGTGACAGAATGGATGATATTTTGGTTATAGGTTTCATACACTTTTGGTAATAAATCATCTAAAAGCAAAAATCCTATCAGAGGGGTGACCCTGACACAAAATCAAATCAAATCGGGGTCTGGGGTCTTCTTTGTGGCCTAGTGCACAGAGTGCAGTTATTATAATTTAGGGTTTTGTTTTGCCCCTCATAAAGATACAGAAGGATCAAAACTGAAGTGAAAGAGTGTGAGAAATCCAGATTTGAATCTGTAGTATGGGTCAAGTTCTAAAAACGCATGAACTCTGTTTGTAAGGCAGGCTTTCTGTTATGTAACAGCAGAACAACAGTAACTTACAACCCTCTTTCACCATCTTTTACCCTGTGTGTCTGACCCATGTCTGCAGGAGTAAAGGGCAACCTGACGGAGTGTGCAAACTATATTCTGGCCAACCTCATTGTGTTGGGGGCAACTATCCTGCTGACGGTCTACTTCCTGGTGTGGCAGACGTATGTGATGGGGGCAGACGTAATCATCAGCAGTGTCTTACTCATAGTCTATGGCTTAGATGGAGTTCTGGCTTTCATCACTTTAGCCCGACTGGCCAGGTCAGTTCCACTCTCATTACTTTTCATCACAGACAATTTATATTAAACCTCTCCAGCCACGATAGATGAGGAAGCTTTTATTGGATAACGTGACACATGAGATCAAAAGCAGTGTCCTTTTGACATGTCAGCATAAATGATAGACGGGCCAGTAAATGACGATATCTTGTGTCAAACATGGATAACATACTTCATTATCACATGAAGAGACTGGCCTACATTTTGGGCTCCATTTATTTTGATTGACAAGATATGTTGACGTAATTAGCATCTCATACTTTTGTTTGCTTTCCTTTTGTTCACGCTTTTGTTCATGAATGAAATAAGCCCTGGTTCCCTTTAGGACTTAGTTTGAATTATTGATATGGGTGGCATTCATTCAAGTGATACTGTATACCTTGAGCAATGTCGTCACATCCTCAAATTTTCCTCCAAAGATGGATCCGAGGACAATAATACAATCGATTCTTCTGAAAAGATGGATATTGTTTATTCAGGTGGTGGATGGCCTTTATACATTCATAAATCAGAGTGGGTTAAAATTCTAAACTAAACTAAAGATGCAGTCATTTGCAAGATTCATTTTGGACAACTAAACATTATTTCACACACTTGCAATACTTTTGTGATTCACAAGTTTGTTCAGGTACAATTGTATGTATGGTAATAACAGATTTTTGATTTGTTCTTCTTTGTGTTTTTCAGTTTCTATTCATGAAGAAGAGTTCACTTCATCATCACGTTGTATGGATGTTGGACTGTTATTTATATATACATATTACTACTAATTACTATATTTAAAATGAGGGGGATTTTTGTTAAAGGTACCGGTACATCTGTGCTGCGAGGATCTGTCAGGGATCTCACTTTGGTGCCGTCATATAAAGGTACCGGTACATCTGTGCTGCGAGGATCTGTCAGGGATCTCACTTTGGTGCCGTCATATAAAGGTACCGGTACATCTGTGCTGCGAGGATCTGTCAGGGATCTCACTTTGGTGCCGTCATATAAAGGTACCGGTTCATCTGTGCTGCGAGGATCTGTCAGGGATCTCACTTTGGTGCCCTCATATATATATATATATATATATAGAAATATAGATATATATCTATATATATATATATGAAATATAGATATCTATATATATATATATATGTATAGATATGTATGTATGTATGTATATATATATATATATATATATATATATATATATGATTGATTAAGATTTCAATAGTGACCTCTGAATTTTTTTGTATATGTATTATGTGTCAAAGATAAAATCTATATTTGTGTGACTATTTATATTAAACATGCCACATTTTATACGTTTCATATTTGTTCAGCTTTTTTCCAGTAGAGGGCAGACTTGTTTTGATTAAGATTTCAATAGTGACCTCTGATTTTAGTACCAAAAATAAGAAACATTTTCTCATCCCATGTCCTCAATTTTGAGGATGTTAATGATTCAATAACTCAAGTCAGCTAAAGTGTGGTCATGCTTGACTACACCTGCAAATAACCTTCCAGTATGCCTATTGATCGCAGTTGTACTAACTATTGATCTAACTATCTGACACTGACTCAAATATATACGCAAAATATTTAAGGTTAAAAATGTATGTTAGTTTGGCTCCTTAAACATTTAACTGTACATATTTGATGTCAGATCAGCACTCATCCTCTGCCTTTTATTCACACGGATGATCTCAAAGCAGTATTTTATTGTAGTATCTCTTAGTAATTTTCTACCCCACATTCTTCAAACAGGTGATTTCTCACAAGTTAATGATCAAACCAAGTGGCAAGGTTGCTAAAGTAACCAGTTTCAAAACAAATCACATTTCAGAGTGCCAGTGCTTGAGCAACAGCCATGCACATAGACAAACACTTTTCACATTTCATTGTGTGTAATGTAGGTGGCCAGTTTGTGTACAAGCATTTATATTTCCACCTTTTAATTGTGTCTCACTGCTGGTAAAATATGGTGTGTGTTAAAACATGATCATTCAAGTGGTTGTTCACGTCCTGTAATATATTTATAATATAAGAGGGCAACTGCGTTACCTTAATGATTTTCTTTGCAGGGACAGCACACTACAGCTGGACAAAGAGTTGTCATTCTTACCAGCCGGTGACATTGAAACCTGGGCAGTGTTCCACATTGTTGCTCCTCTTTCATTCACCCATTTGAATCCAACTAGTTTAGACCAGTCACTACTTTGCAGCACAAAGTAAACCTGTGGAATTTAAATGATTTCACGACTGAAGAGTTTGCATATAACAATTTATTTAGGCCTATTTGTAATTGCATTTGTAAATCATTAACCTGTTTTTATTGCCATATAAATGTAGATAAGTTCACCCAGAGCATCTCATATACGGTCTCCTTAGGGAGCTGGTGCTTCACAGCAGTGGTCAAAGGTTCACAAGATGATAAAAGAAAGTAAAATAAATAATTCTCTTACACAAAATAAAATGACTCTTCTGTAATCTTTGCTTTTTCCTACTTTTCCAAAAATTCAGAAACCCGTCCAAAACAAACTGAAGGAAAAGTCACACTTAGAGAACACACTACAGCTTGTAATGTGGGGTCACAAGTAGATATAGCTTCGTTGAAAGGGGTCACAAGGCAAAAGGGTTAGGAATCACAGCCTTACTGCCATGATTTACTACAACTTACATCATAAAGCACACCGCATGGTGACTGGGTAGCATAATCAGTGTGGGTCTTCTGTTGCTTTGTGTTATGCGTTAAGTTAATGAAGCAGACGAGCGAGTTGCAATACAGGCATGCATCCAAGCTATCGCCTTTCTTTCATGAAGACTTACAGCGAATTGACTGAGAAAAACTTCCCATCGGTCGACCCACCCCCGGTGAAGTCTCCGTGGAGCTCCTCCCCTGTCAAGATTCAGTTACCTGCAGAGTCACCTCTCACACACCTACTCCTGCGTTGCCTACTCGGCGACTGTATTCCTGGGAACCGACAACAAACGTCTGCTCTGTGTGCTGTTTACAGTCTTTCAAACTCAAACAAACGCTTACGTATATCGACGGTTTCACACGGAGGTTGTCCTGATCGGCTGCTGGCTGTGATGGCAGGCTGATGCTTCAGAGCACGTTTGTCACCTTGATAATACCGTCCGGAAACCACCGCTGAGAGTTCCTATAAGGGGTGAAAAATACTCTTGTTTTCTTTCTTTAATGACTGCATGTTGGTTTCAAAGTTGAGATTGGTTACTGTGAGTTATTATTCATTTGTGTTATTACGAAATAGCTCCTAATTGTATGAATTGTCCGCACATCAAGGCTGCAGGTTTGAAGTTAAATTGACACTTGCTGGAACATACTACTGAAATTTAACTGGTAATCTACGGAAGAAATGTCATAATGTAACATTTGGTATTGTGTCCTAAGAGTAAAGTTCTGCTTGATTAAGTAGCAAGAGAGCAGAAAACTGTCAGGTGGGTTATACAAGGCAATGGGATTGGACCCAAACTCAGACTGGTGCTGTTGTTGTGCAGATGTTGATAGGCAGGTCCAGGTAACAGCAGAGTCAGAGCTGGGTTCAGGTTGCTCAAAAAACAAAGCAAGAGGTAAGTGGCAATTAGGAATGAACTGGCTAGAAGCAAAGCAAGTGAACTGGTATGGTTGAGTGGCTGTTGAGGGAGTGAGTGCAGTTGAGGAGTGGGCCAGGTACCTGCAGAGCAGATGATGGGGGGAACAGGTGTGTAGTTGGGTGTGGAAGTCAGGTGATGGGCAAAGGAGGGAATGTCCAAGGGCATCTGGTGGACAGCTTGAGGATGGCAGGTCTGGGGAGCTGGGACTTGGGACCTAGGAACCAATACAGAAATGTTAATCTGATGTCACCCACAACCTTAATTGCAGCATTTAGCTCTGTGCTGAGAGGAATTTGCTTTCATTTGCAACATGTTCATGAATAATCGCATGACATGCTGCACATTAACAGCCAAAAGAGAAGCACTGATTGCTAATTTAATTGTAAATTGAATTAGTTACTTTTTAGTTGACTTTTGTCCAGGATTGTTGTTCTCTGTGTGTTCGGCAGGGTTATATGAATGTTGTGTGCACAAATAGGGTTCATGCCTGTGAAATCTGACCTGATTATGTATTGTGGCTGTTCTCTGTGCCCTGATTCAGAGAATGTACTCGTACCCTCCACACTGCACCTGTATACACAGAATCTGTAACATAATCATCAGCTATCATAACAGTATTCAGCCGGATGGCTGCGTGGCTTGAAATACATAAAATCAGATCACTGTTGTCTCTTACAAAATACTTACTCAGGAGCATGGAGCAAAGTCCAAAATGCTGGTCATACTAGAACAGACTCATATTTTTTATTCAGACACATTACATAAGCTATCACTGCCAATATGTTCTAGTTATGTAGTATGACAATGTCAAAAAAAGCATTGATCTTGTAATTAGATTGATGTCTATGTTTTGTCATATTGAAGTAAAAGTTTGGATAAAATGTGATTGCTGAGATCAAGGCTTACTTTGATTATCAGGCTGAAGTCATCTAAAAGACAACCATGTTTTTACAAAGAGTTGCTAATGAGCATAATACTGTAAATGCTGGGTTTATTTCATCATTAATGTGCATGTCCGTAGTGATTCTTGTTGTCAGTCTTTCTTGCTGTTTTCCTAGATCCTTTGTTTAAGCTTGAAACATACACTCACCTAAAGGATTATTAGGAACACCTGTTCAATTTCTCATTAATGCAATTATCTAATCAACCAATCACATGGCAGTTGCTTCAATGCATTTAGGGGTGTGGTCCTGGTCAAGACAATCTCCTGAACTCCAAACTGAATGTCAGAATGGGAAAGAAAGGTGATTTAAGCAATTTTGAGCGTGGCATGGTTGTTGGTGCCAAACGGGCCGGTCTGAGTATTTCACAATCTGCTCAGTTACTGGGATTTTCACACACAACCATTTCTAGGGTTTACAAAGAATGGTGTGAAAAGGGAAAAACATCCAGTATGCGGCAGTCCTGTGGGCGAAAATGCCTTGTTGATGCTAGAGGTCAGAGGAGAATGGGCCGACTGATTCAAGCTGATAGAAGAGCAACTTTGACTGAAATAACCACTCGTTACAACCGAGGTATGCAGCAAAGCATTTGTAAAGCCACAACACGCACAACCTTGAGGCGGATGGGCTACAACAGCAGAAGACCCACCGGGTACCACTCATCTCCACTACAAATAGGAAAAAGAGGCTACAATTTGCAAGAGCTCACCAAAATTGGACAGTTGAAGACTGGAAAAATGTTGCCTGGTCTGATGAGTCTCGATTTCTGTTGAGACATTCAGATGGTAGAGTCAGAATTTGGCGTAAACAGAATGAGAACATGGATCCATCATGCCTTGTTACCACTGTGCAGGCTGGTGGTGGTGGTGTAATGGTGTGGGGGATGTTTTCTTGGCACACTTTAGGCCCCTTAGTGCCAATTGGGCATCGTTTAAATGCCACGGCCTATCTGAGCATTGTTTCTGACCATGTCCATCCCTTTATGGCCACCATGTACCCATCCTCTGATGGCTACTTCCAGCAGGATAATGCACCATGTCACAAAGCTCGAATCATTTCAAATTGGTTTCTTGAACATGACAATGAGTTCACTGTACTAAAATGGCCCCCACAGTCACCAGATCTCAACCCAATAGAGCATCTTTGGGATGTGGTGGAACGGGAGCTTCGTGCCCTGGATGTGCATCCCACAAATCTCCATCAACTGCAAGATGCTATCCTATGAATATGGGCCAACATTTCTAAAGAATGCTTTCAGCACCTTGTTGAATCAATGCCACGTAGAATTAAGGCAGTTCTGAAGGCGAAAGGGGGTCAAACACAGTATTAGTATGGTGTTCCTAATAATCCTTTAGGTGAGTGTACATGCTATAACACTGATTTGTTTGGTTAGGGTTTCTAAACTTCTATGGTGAAGGTTGCAGTACATTACCAAAGATGATGCATTATTTATGTATGACATGCATTATGGTACAATTATTGATTGATGTTCAAAGACTGAGATTTTGCGCCAGTTGATAAGGTAA